TCCATATGTATATTTCTTACAAATAATTGATTATATGCAGTATTTCTTTATAATAAACCACTAGCTGAGACCCTGAGTAACACAATTGTAAATTTTTTTTTTTTTTGGTTTTTAGCCTCATAATGATGCTGTCCAATATGTTTTTTTATGAGTTGGCAACCCAGGAATTCACCAATTTAGACACTTTTCCATCCTTTGCATAGCTGCATTATGCACGATCCCTGTTTCTTTAGCATTTTCTGGAGTGGTCTCACGTGCGGACCAGTGAATTTCCTCTGTCTAACCCTGGATGTGCAGGACTATTGATTGATTAACACTGAACTCAAGGCCAACAGCCCTGTCACTCATGCCCGAGCAAAGCCTGTCTAACTCCTGCGTTTTCTCCATGAAGAGAGCCGCAGAGCTCCTCACCGTGCCACTGTGGAAGCATCTCTCTCTTAGGTGTTCAAATTTACCTAAAGGGAAAGAAAATGAAGACAATTATCTGAATTTAACTTAAAAAAATAAAAAAAAAGATCCATAAGAGTCAGCAGGGTTTTCCACCTTGATTGAACTCTTCTGAAGACTTCTAAACTTTGCAAAATGCTTTGACCACACACATAGCCTTAGGATACTCCGTACACATTTTTCTTTCTTTCAGCTGTGTTGGACATTGTATTTAAAAAAAATATGACTGAATTTTTGCCTCCAGTTTGAAGCCCATATTTTAAGATATCTTAGTTTTCCCCTTCATTTACTTGATAACTTGGGGCAGCTCTCAGTTCTTTAATTTAGAAACTTTAGATGTATTCACTGAGGTCAGTTCATCAAACTTTATGGAGTTTTTACTTTGGGACATACGTCAGCCTTGCCCTGGCTGCAGTGGTATCAAAAAGAATGATGTCCTGTCTGCTTTGTGCTGCTATATAACACAGTACCACAGACCGAGTAGTTTATAGTGGATCAAAGTGTACTTGGCTCGCGGTTCTGGAGGCAGGGAAGTTCAAGATCAATGGGCTGCATCTGGGGAGAGGCTTGTTGCTGCATCACGGCATAGCGGAAAGGCATCCTGGGGAGAGAGACCGGAGAGGGCTGGACTTGCTTTTTATAGCAGACCCACTCTGTCGATCGCAGCACTAACCCATAGGTCACAGAGGTGACCTGTGTCACCTCTTAAAGGTCCCACCTCTGTTGCATCAGAGATTGCTTCCAACACATGGACTCTGGGGGACACATTCGAACTGCAGCAGATGATATGATCCATAGTCGCAGGGAGCCGTTGATTTGGGATTCAGGTAGCTAAGAATGCACGGTGACATTTCTAGGTAGTTGTCTCCATCGTGGTCATCAGAGCAGTCAGAGTTGGTGGCATTTTCAGTTGCATCCTGTGAATTACATAGGTCCCTTCAGCAAGATACCCCATAACGTGTGCCTGCCTGGCCTGAAGGGCCACCTAACTTCACAGGGCATCACAGCCCCTCTGTTTTCGGGTGTCTAAACTTCCCTGGTTCTCCTACAGCTGTGACATAACCAGATCCTATGATACCTTAATTGATAATTAAGAAGATATAGGAGATATCTTCTAAGAGATCTTAGAATAAAGAAGCTATAGAAGATATCTTCTAAGAGATCTTAGAATTAAGAAGCTATAGAAGATATTTTCTAAGAGATCTTAGAATTAAGAAGCTATAGAAGATATCTTCTAAGAGATCTTAGAATTAAGAAGCTATAGAAGATATCTTCTAAGAGATCTTAGAATTAAGAAACTATAGAAGATATCTTCTAAGAGATCTTAGAATTAAGAAGCTACAGAAGATATCTTCTAAGAGATCTTAGAATTAAGAAGATACAGAAGATATCTTCTAAGAGATCTTAGAATTAAGAAGCCATAGAAGATAATGTAGAAGATAATCGATTCTTCCATGTGATAACGTGAATGAGATTGCCCAGGAGAGCAGCAATGTAGGAACAAGTATTACAACCTACCTTCACGACACTGACACGTCTCCTTATCTGAGCCCTTAAGTTGGCTTGTAAATTGATGACACCCCTGGTTCTTTGCCTGACCGTCTCCCTGCCAGTGTGAAGAGTCGTGGCCTGGCCACGAGGCTTCCTGTTTCACCTGTCTGCTCCTCTGTTGGCTTCCACGTCACACGAGTCACCAGCTCCACGAGTGACCCCGTGCTCCGTCCCTGCGGTGCACTCTCGGGGGTCCTCCCCAGTGCCGTGGCAACGCTGGGGCCGTTGCCCTCGGCGACACAGTTTCCGGGACCCTGGAGGAGCTTTGCAGGCTCGTGATGGGGGACAGGCACGAAAACAGGCAAATGCGACACAGCTCAGGGTCCGGCCGCAAAAGGAGAACGCCCGCCCAGGGTGCGCAGCCGGACCCGAGGCTGGTTCTCACGTCTGTGGGACAGCAGGACGGGTGGGAAGCTTCTCTCAGGCAGGCGGCGGTTACTGACCCGGGGGAGACGGGAGGAAAGGAAGTGCGAGGACGGGCGTGCTGCACACGCACAGGAGGCGCGGTTAGTGGAAACCTGCATGAACACGCCTGCTCTGCATGAATGGCCTGTGAGCCGTAGATTTTTTTTTAGAGAGTGGGGCCCCTATGGGATCCTGTTCCCTCAGTTCTGCCTCTTTCCCCCGTTTTCTGTCCGCTTCCCCAGCTCCGGGCGCCTGCCCCCTCGCCAGCAGGGAGCGAAGCTGTGTGCACCGAGCGAGGCCTCAGACACAGTTGGCAGGTCCTTAAAAACGTGTCGCATCAGCCGGTATTGTGAAGCCGTTGCTCATTATCCAGTGTAAGGGCAAGTTCTCTGCCCTGGAAGCTAGCTCTGGGTCACCTTGCGTGGAGATGCCGGCCCCTGTGCCTGGGTTCCAAGCTTTCTAGAGAAATCCCTACTCCGCAGAGGGGGGAAGGCCAGGCTTGGCTGGGGGCATTCTCTGGAAGGCGCGGAAAAGGCGCACGGGTTCTCTCGAGGTGCGGATTGAGGGCTGAACTCCGGCTTATGAACTTGCTCCTACTTTTTAGAAATGACATGCTTTGGCAACTATGTGATGCATAAGTAGGTAAAATAAAAAGGATAATTCAAACATCCACTTCCATCTAGACAGTCTTCCATTTTTTTAAAAAAAAATAAAAATAAAAAGGGAGACTGATAAATATTTCCTCCAATACTGGGGTCCCCAACCCCCGGGCCATGGACTGGTGCTGGTCCGTGGCCTGTTAGGGACCAGGCTGCAGTGCTCGGCCACCCCCTTTCCCCCTATACTCCTTCTACCCCCAGGCTGTGGAAAAGCCGTCTTCCATGAAACCTGTCCCTGGTGCCAAAAAGGTTGGGGGCTGCAGTTGGAACATACAGTGGGCAAGTGCCAGTTTTGGTGTTTCATTCCTCCTGCGATATCCACTCCGCGTTTCATGGATGCGAACCCTTCCGGGCCTCCCGGATGTGCTCTTTCCAGGTATTCCTGGACCGTCCCGCTCCACGGGATCTGGACCCTGTGCCATCCCCTAGGCGTGGATGAAGAGGTGGGAGAGGGAAGCAGGGAAGCCAGTCCTGCCGTGGGACTCCACACAAAGGAGTAAAACTGTGCCTTTTCATTTCCGAGGGGAAAACTCAACGCACCGTGGCTTTAAGCCTCAGCAAGGTGGCTTATTCCCAGGGAGCACGGCCCCGGTGCCTGCCAGGCCCCTTACCAGGAGGGACCTTTTAGGGAAGACCCTTCTCTTTCCGTAGGATCCGTGTCCTCTCCCCGATCGTCCACCCCACCCCTGATGTTTGAGATCCCCCTGTCCCATCACCCCTGGCCTACAGGCCAGCCTCCTGGCACACACACCCACACCCCTCCTTCCTAGGACGAAATGCTAGCTGTCAGTCAGTCCGCACTGCCTTTACAGACTAGAGCCTTCAGAAGAAAGGAGTTCTAACAACCACATAATTTGCAAGGCCACACTCTCACCAGCAGTCTGGACAACTCATTATTACACGGGGGGTAAAAAAATATGTAATTCCCTTCCTCCATTCTGTCGTCACCCCCATCCACCACCACCACCCCGGCTCCCCCGTCCAATTTTAAATTGTACTCGCCGGCCCCCCTGGGAATGAGAGGCGGGCGACTGTGGGGCCCATACACCCATCCCGGTGGCTCTGGAGCAAAGAGAGGCTTCAGATCGCTGCCCCCACTGAGGAACAAGTGGCTCCTTATCTAAGAGTCTGCTGCACCCTCATCTCTGACTGAGCAGGAGGGAGGCCATGGGTTGATCTTCCCTTTGTGAGTACAGGTGACTGATGGCCGGTGTGCACAACAGCAGGGCACATGGTCTGACCAAGGGTTTATTTTTTTTCTGAATGGTGATTCATTCTCATTAAGTCTTATAAAGGAAAAAAAAAAATGTAGATTTAAGCATTTTGTGCAGCATTTAATGAATCATCTCTCCTAAAGTAAAGGAAAATTTTCACAAAATCTCCCGGAAAATTCAGGCAGCGTGGTCATAATAGTTTTATGATATATATTCCAGTTAATTATGGAAAATGTTCCATTCCTTCAAGAAATCTTAAAGGAAAAAAAAAAAAATCTCGCACATCGCAGCCATGTATCCCGGTGAGGCTAAAATTGGTCAAAAGCAGACTGAATGCCAAATGACAATTTCTGCTAAATAATTCAGGCCCTCTGAACTCCTGATATTTTACTTACTTTAATGAGCATAATGGGTGCAATTAGACACTGCCTTTCCTCAAAGTGCCAGACACAGTGTGCTCTCGCCAAATTGGGGACCCGCTTTTCTTTTCCCATCTGCACATGTGTCCTGTATTCCCGGCAACTGGCGTTGGTCGCCACTAAATACACGTGCCTCCAGGTCAGTCACTTGAGTTAAGTTTCGGTGATGGTTATCCCGAAGAAAAATAGAGATTGTGGAACAAAGGCTAGATGCTTCAGTGGCTGGTTCGAATGGGAGGGGAGAAGGAAGCCTCGGGACTCGGTTCTCTCTCACACCGTCTTCTCCTCCCCCCCCCCCCACCCAGGGCGGCGACGCGGACATGGTGGACAAGAACAAGTGCTGCACGCTCTGCAACATGTCATTCACCTCCGCGGTGGTGGCCGACTCACACTATCAAGGCAAAATCCACGCCAAAAGGTTAAAACTGCTGCTCGGAGAGAAGACCCCGTTAAAAACCACAGGTGCGTGTACGGACTGTGGTCTGGGGGGCGGGGCGCCCGAAAGCTAGAAGTGTGCCTGTCACGCGCACCGCGCTGTCTTTGGTGGCGGCGGCGGCTGCCGGGAACGGGGGTCTCGGAGAAGATGTCACTCAGAACCCAGAGGGACAGGCGGGTGCCCCCGGCAGAGCTTGCTGTCATTGGAGCATCGGACACCGTTTCAGGGGCTCATGCTGTAAGCCTGGTTCCTTCCGATTAGTATTTGGGCAGCTTATATCTGGCACTAGCTGCCATTCACATCCTTCAAGATGTTGTTGGACTTGTTGCTAATTTTTTAAAATTATGTGCTTTGCCCTACATCATGCATAAGCAGTTGAAAAATGTGATAATTCAAGCATCCGCCTTCACCTTAACAAAAAATGCAAGACTTAAAAAAAAAAATGCAAGACTGCATTACATCCTTCAAGATGTTGTCTACTGTGTCTGTTACATGTTCTGTGAGATGTTACGGCTCTCCTGTTCTCTGGAGCCAGTCAGTAATCAGTGTGGGTGATGGGCAGTGTCGTGGCTGACACAGAGATCCCTCCAATGTCTACAGAATGCACAGCGTCCCCCCTTTCTTACTGGGGGTGAGGGGGACAGAGAGGAAGACTGCAGCCTGGAAAAACCACGTTAGTGTGCAGATAACTGCATGTTTTCCCCCCGCCGAGGTGACATTCCTGTCACATCTGCAGGAATCCTGTGATTCAAACCCATTAATTTTCAGAAGTAAAAGCTTAAATATTGATAACAGATTATTTGACCTTCTAATTGCTCACCTAAAATATATTATTCAGAGGTCTAGCAAATCATGGAATTTAAAAAGAAAAATACTGTTATAATTTAATCGAGATAGGCTATTTGGACAAGATTTATATTGTGGCGAAGACGTTAACCAGAAAGGTTACAAACCTGAGAAGTTGGGGGAATATTTCACGGTGCCTACTCATTTCACCCAATTAAAACTTAGCAGTGCGTTTTATCTTGCTGCCTAACGAATCATGCATAAATTGTGGGTGTAATTATTTTTTAAATGATATTTTGGAAACAGGAGAGAGTTTAAAACAATGCTTGACTTTTATCTTCACCGACATTTTTCTGACATTTTTCTTAGGAAGAACGCCTTCTGTTACCTAGACAATAGCACAGAATCTTTTCATTGTGTTTTTCTGCTTAGTTGAACTAAAGGACATTGCTTTCTCTAAAGATGGCTGTGACACTCGGGCCTAGGATGGGTCTGCACAGCCCGAGGAGTCTGGAGCAGCTCAGCCTGTGCGGGGCACACTGTGTACCGGCGTTGGATGAGCAGTCAGCTGAAACTCCCGATTCTTGCCTCTGAAAGGTTGGGTATTCACCCTGTAACCTACTCCCCATCAAATCTCTTAAAATAGACACTTCAAAGAAACAGTCACTGGAAAATTTTTACCTGTTTTCCATGAATGAGTAACTAGCCCACTTGTTCTCTCTGCCTAAGTGGGATATTACCGCAAAATTAAATTTCGGAGGTAGTGAAGGAAGAAGAGAAGCTGCATCTTTGTTTACCATGTTGATTAGCAATTGGGAGAGTTATTGTTTCTGTAAACAGTTCACCGCGTGGCAAAAAATAGTTCTCTGGGAATTTAAATGCAGCCTTGAGTCCGCCAGGCCCTGGACTGGTTTTCTGCATTCAAGTACGCTCAGCCCGGACCTGGTCAACAGGACCCAGGGGTGGCTTGTTCGCTGTCGCCAGTGTATCCCACAGGAAAATCAGAAGTGGTTGGAAGTGCAGCCCTTACCTAGTGGCCCAGCCCTGGCCGTCCCTGGGGCTGGCCTGGCCCTCGGCGTTGAGGAAATCAGGTTGCTGCCTAGACAAGAAGGGGGCAGGGGGCGCGGTGGGGGTAAGGAGCAGGGGCAGCTGCAGCTTGGCTTGGGGTTGCCTTGTGCCAACACCCCCCTTCTCACCCAGTGCACGCCCCCTTCTGCAGCTCGTGCTCCCATCCATTCCCCCTTGATGCTGCTTCAAGCAGGACGGCTCTTGGAAGGTGGTGACGCTGGACAGAATCACAGGGCCTGGGTGGCGTCTGCTGGCAGGGAGCAGAGAAAGCAAAGCACCTTGCTGGAGGGGCCAGTCGTCAGGTTCGAGTGTAACGGAGTCGGGCACTGGGAGGCGTGGCCCAGGTTACGGGTTTGAAGACCCGCAGGGAGGAAGGCACCAACAAGGGAGGGCGTGTGGCTCAGGGAACTCGTAGGTGATCCAGCAGGGCGCTGGCGTCAGGAAGCTCTGGCCGGTGGCAGCAGGGCCCTGCTGCAGCCCCGGGTTCCAGGGAAAGGAACGGCCGTGAGGAGCATGGCAGGGCACCACCATTTAAGACGAGGGCTCCAGGCTAGAACCCAATCGTAGAGAATGAATCAGGGGCCTGCGTTCTGGATGTAGGGTATTGGTTGGTGCCTGCTCTCAAGCATAAATTCAGTTACTGCAAGTATAGGGCAGCGACCGAGAGGCACCGGGAGAGGGGAGCCAAGCCATGGGCTGCCCGAGCTGGGACAGAGTCCGGATTCCCACCTCTCCCTGCTGCCCCGCAGCCAAGCCCAGGGCATTCCCCGCAGGACTGCACCGTCCACGCCGCGGCCGCTCTGTGCGCGTCGGAGAACTGCTCTGCCTGATCAACCAGGCCGGCTTAAAATTACTTCTGTAACGAAAACTGGTTGGTTCTTCCCGGTTAGCGTGTCTCGGCAGCTCTGTTCCAGCTCTGGCTCTCCCAGACCCTGCGGTGGGGACGGGTGTGACGGGGCACTCTGGCCAGACCGCGGCGGAGCTTCCACCCCGTCGGGAGGCGAGATCGGGCCGTCGTCACGGCTGTTGCAGTAGGAGCCAGAGGAGCCCGTGGGAGGGATCCAGAGGGTGCTCCGAGGCCGGAGGCTGGAACAGTGAATGGCGTGAAGACCCCCGGTGGAAGGGGAGTGCAGGACGCGGGGTTGTTCAGGACCGAAAAGAAGTTACTCGGGGGCAAATCTTTGGAAGGGTTTCATGAGAAGAGGAGAGAATCCTGGTGTGTGTGTGTATGTGTGTGTTTGTGTTTGTATATGTGTGTGCATGTGTGTGTGCTTGTGTGTGTGTTTGTATGTGTGTGTGTGTTTGTGTATGTGTGTGTGGTGTGTGTATGTGCGTGTATATATGTGTGTGTATGCGTGTGTTTGTGTCTGTGTGTATGTGTGTGTGGTGTGTGCATGTGTGTATGTGTGTGTATATATGTGTATGTGTTTGTGTCCGTTTGTATGTGTGTGTATGTGCGCATATGTGTGTTTGTGTGTGTTTGTGTGTGCATGTGTTTTTTGTGTGTGTGGTTTGTATGTGCGCACATGCGTGCAGACGTGTGTACAGGTGCATGGATACAACAGGTATAACCGATAATTGGGTAGAAAATTAGGGCGTCAGACCTGAGCTCCGGGTAGGGAAGAGTCCGTTAACGTTCAGGGACGGTTTGACAGTGGAGCGTGTCACTGTGCGGCCACCCGTGTGGAGCCCGGCGGACCCCGCAGAGGTGTTTCCAGGTGCAGGTGGAAACACCAGGTGTTTCCATGTGCGGCTCCAGCCTCGGGCCGGTGGCGAAGTCCCCCTGAGATTCTTGGCCAGACTTCATCTACAGCCTGGGGTCACCAACGTGGCAGCAAAGGACACTGGCCTGGGCGTGGGGACTCAGCTGTGAGCTCCTAGTTGCTGTGCCCTCACCAGGTGCGTGACCGTCAGTAGGTTCATTGTGTTTCCCCACCTCCGTGTTCTCACCTGTCATTTCAAGCCTGGATGCATTTATCTTTCTGGCTTTACCTAGGGCAGATAACAGACTGAGGACAGGTGTGCTTTGACAGGCGTGTGTTGGGCATTCACAGGTGATCGTGTGGCCCATAGGTGGATGCTCCTGATTCCTTGCGTCCAGCAGAAACTCTGATACCCTGATTGACATGCGTGAGGTTGTTCAAGGGCCACCTGGGCTCTAACTCCAGGGGACACTGTGTTGTGTCTCTCAGAACTATCGTCCCCAACCCCTGGTCCTTGGCCTGTCCGGAACCGGGCCGCACAGCAGGAGGTGAGCAGCAGGTGAGCCAGCGAAGCTTCATCTGCGTTTACAGCCGCTCCCCCATCCCGCATCCCCGCCCCCAGCAGATCCGCAGCGGCCTCAGATTCTCACAGGAGCGAGGGCCACACTGTAACCTGCGCATGCCAGGGACCCCGGCCGTGCCTGCTGTGAGAACCTGATGTCCGATGATCTCAGGTGGGGCTGAGGCGGCGGTGCCAGCGCTGGGGAGTGGCTGCAAACACAGATTCTCGTTTCAGAGAGGTCTGACTGCACGATAAACGTGACGCGCTGGACCCATCCTGGAACCATCCCCTACCCCAGTCCATGGAAAATTGTCTTCCATGAAACCAGCCCCTGCTCCCAAAAAGGTCGGGGACAACTGTCTTAGGGGACCAGCCTTTCTGGGAGGAGTTCTGTGGCAGAGCCTGACACTGGGGCTGCCCTGGAGGGCTTCGGGACCGGGCGGTCAGTGAGCCCAGGGGGCAGACAGGCTGGAAGCCCCTCAGGGGGAGGAGACCCAGCCACCAAGGGGGGCGGGGGGGCGGGACCCCAAACTGGCAGGTAGAAGAAATGTGAAATAGAAAGTAGTTTTCAAGAAAGGAAGTCAAGGTAAAACAGGGAACCAGACACCAGGATAGGGGCCCAGAGGAGGGTCAGAGTCTCGGGAGCACGGAGGCAGCCCTGTCGTGGGGACAGAGACACGCAGTGATGAAAGGCCGGACTCCACCCCGGACCTCAGGCCAGGCTGGAGGACTCCGGTCCTGCCTGCTTAGGCCGAGGCAGGCCTCAGAGCTCTTCCCAGGGGGCTGAGTGTGGGGCGAAGGTGAGCGCTTCCAGCAGAAGGAAGGGGCACCAGACAGGCCTGCGAGGTGCGGGGCAGTGTGATGGCTTCACGCCGGGCTCCCGGGTGCTGGGGACTCCCCGGCACAC